CGCCCTACCGCCCGCGGCCAGGAATGCTGACAGAAAACCCACACCCAGCTGGGCTTGAAAGCATGACAACCGACGCAGAGCTTTTACTCAATCTCGCGCGACCTACCAATTTCCACCCGGGTAACCACACTAAACGAGTCAGCATCGACGAGACCTACAACCAGTATACAGGCGATGCAATTCGTCAATCTCGAGTTGGATTTGCTGCCGTTGGCCATCCTGACCAGGGCGGTGTTAAGATGAATCACAATTCTGAGGATATACCTTATGCCCGCATGCGCTCTCGCTCTGACGGGTCAGCCTTCATAGCTCGTCCTGCGATCCGTGGAATCCGCCCAACTACTAGCTCCGGCACTTTCCCGCCAATTGTTTGGGAGGATGAACAGGAAGGCAAAGCTTGGCATCTACCAGCTGATACGTCTCACCATACTGCTTATGGAACTCATCCTCCGGCCGATCTCCAAGAACCTCAATTCTCCCCAAAGCCCCTGCCCGTTCCGCCAAAAGAGGAAGAGGAAGGTGGCGATACCAATCAAGCAATGTGCGGGGCATGCCATTTAGTGCGCATCCCAGTTGAGACCGAGGAACAGGACGAAGACACGTGGATCAGTTGCGATGGATGCAAACGATGGTTCCATATCGTCTGCGCCGGCTTCAAGAATGATCGAGAGGTTCGCACAGTCGACAAGTTTATCTGTCGTCAATGTCGATCAGTTCATGGCCAAACCACTTTCGTACGCAAGTCCTCGCGGGCCCGGACAGCTATTGACTACGCAGGCCTGAACCAAGGCCTCGTCAAAGCTGCCACTGACTCGTTGGAACATCACTATCTTGAGCCCATTCGACAAGGGAAGATCCGATTTCAACCTGAGAATTTCCCCCGAATGAAGCCTGAGCTGGTCACAGCCGAATACTTCGAAAGAGGAAATGGGTGGACGGAGCCTATTGTGATACCTGCCTGCTGGAACTCCTGCGAGCCTGTTTTCTCGGAAAATCCAGACTTCGATTCTCTAGTACAGGAGGCCCCGTCTCAAGAGATGTTCGATGATCTTCTTGAGAACCACCCCGAGCAAGAGACCCATATCGAAGAAACAGTCGACTGTGGTCAAGACCTTTTGGGTATGGTCATTCCGCGAGGTCTCACTGTCCGTGCTGTAGCAGAGCTTTACGGACCTGAAGAAAGGGTTGAAGTGATCGATGTCAAGTCTCAGCAAGGAGAGGACAAAAGGTGGAACATGCAGAAATGGGCCGATTACTACGAAAGCAATGAGTCGGACAAGCCTGTCCGGAATGTCATCAGCTTGGAGGTATCGCAGAGCAAACTTGGCAGACTCATCCGGCGGCCAAAGGTTGTGCGTGACTTGGATCTGCAAGATGCTGTGTGGCCAGAGGAACTGAAGGCAATTGGTGAATATCCCAAAGTTCAGTTCTACTGCCTGATGTCTGTTGCCGACTGCTATACCGACTTTCACATCGACTTCGGCGGGTCTTCAGTGTACTACCATATCCTGAAGGGCAAGAAAACTTTCTTCTTCATTCCTCCCAAAGACAAACACCTCAAAAAGTACGAGGAGTGGTGCAACTCTCCCGCTCAGGACTCGATTTTCCTTGGAAATCAGACCAAGGAGTGCTACCGTGTGGATCTCTCCGAGGGAGACACCATGCTGATTCCGTCGGGCTGGATTCACGCAGTCTGGACTCCAGAAAATAGTTTGGTTATTGGTGGCAACTTCTTGACCAAACTGAATTATGGGATGCAAATCAAGATACTGAACATTGAGAAGGATACTAAAGTCCCCAAGAAGTTCCGATACCCTTTCTTCCAAAAGATCCAGTGGTATACGGCTCAAAAGTATCTGGAGGATGATCCCGTCCCGCCAAATGTAATGGAAGCATTCATGCAAGATGAAAACTATCGGTTCCACCGTCAGTATCCAATCTACTACGAGTTTGGAGAACGCGCCAACCAGGAACCTCCTGGTTCTCCACATCACAATGCGCGGTTTTATTCGCAGGCGGAGTTGGAGGGCCTACTTGAGTTAACTAAGTATTTGCTACGAACTGCACTCATTGCAGGTGGCTATACCGTTGATGGAGGCGTTTCCATGGACGTTCGAAACGCAGTCAGACGCTCCATTCCCAAAGGGTCAGGAGATCCTGTAGACATGATCAGGAAATTCGGAATTTGGGTCGCCTGGAAGCGTGGTAACGAAAAGGCGCCCCTCTGGACTCGACCTGGCGTCATCGAAAGCAATCCCAAAATCTCTATTGCGGACAAGAAGCCTGCAGGACGACCAAGCCGCCGATCTGAACGCAACGTTGACAATCAACGCACCTATGCCGAGAGACAAGCGGTTCAGTGGCCTTCCGAAGAGGCCCCTACAACTCCAAATCCCCCATCTAGCAGCCTTGCTTATGCGCAGTCTGATGGGAGTGCAACACCTGCGCCATTATTCAGTATTGCTCCAGAAACGAGCGTCAAAGATATGGCCACACCCAAGCCCCGGACTATGCCACGAACCTCAGGTCTTGGTCCCAAGCGAGTTGCATGTGACGCTTGTCGCAAACGACGCATCCGATGCCGACACAAAGATGAACCCGGTGATATGGTGCTCAACGGGCAAGTCGCAGTCAATACCTTCACACCGGGATCTGGGGTGAGCACGCCATCCTCCTTGGCACAGGATGCTGTCTCCGCTTTGAATTCTTTGGCAGCGATTGCGTCGCAAACTGGGTTCCAAAACAATGGACATCTTGTTGACCTGGAACGATTCGAGAGCTCGGCACGATTTCAATCCGCGATTATGGGCAACTCCACGATAGCTGCCAATCGTCTCATTGATGTGAGCCCTGACGGAGCCAATGGAGGAAAAAAGGGACGTAGCAAGGCGTGCGATGATTGTCGGAAGAGCAAGGTTTGTTGATACCCCCAAATGCCTCTTTTGCTCCTTTTCATCTTACTAACGTGAGACCAGCGCCGTTGCATCCACGATGAGTACGGTCGGATAGATCCAATCAAGGCTCAGGAGCGCTCTAAACCCCGTGCGAATGCTTCCGCCAAACGAGCACGCCCTGCCGAAGAGGATGACATACCTTCCACGGCCAAAAAAGCGAAACAGGAAAGCACATCACCCATGACGCAGCCTGCAGTATTCTTCGATCATGATGGCGATGAACTAATGGCGCAAGACGACCTGATGGATGCTTATGATAACGAGCCTTTCAGTCAAATTGACTCAGCTAAACATCTGCCTGAGGCAGATCAGACACCTCAAAATCAAGCATTGTACGCATCACCACCTGCTTTCCAGGCCGAGTCTGTGGATGCAAAGGAGTTAAACTCTGTGTCTGTCTCTTCATCCAAGCCAAACACCTCCTTGGTCTCACCGCCCACGTCGCTGGCCGACGAAATGGATGGGGTCCAAGAGGGAGAGGCCGTACAGTCTGTGGAAGGGGAAGTGTCAACTGCTCTCCACACACCCAGCTCCAGTTCTCGACATTCGTCTCGCCAACCTCGACATGTCGATCGGTTCGCACCTGATTCAACTACAGCCCGGGCTCCGAAGCCGGCGGCACGAGCCACGTCTTCCACGGTCGGGGCACGCAAGACCACTCCCGTTCCGGCATCGACAAGAAAGCCTTCATCACGTCCCTCATCTTCGCATGCGAAGAAGAGCTCTCCGATGTATGAAAAGCACTTCCATCGTCACGCCCCTACATCATTATCTCCGCGTCAGCACAAGCATACTCAACACATCACCGGGGACGAAGATGCAGACGAGGAAAGTCTTCGTTTGATACGAGAGCTCCAGGAACAAGAATTTGGTCTGCGGAAACGATCGACGAGGGTTTAGTCTCACAGAAGGGACGAGCGGTACAGATGAGAGATGTAGAATGGATTCTGCTTTATGCTTTTCTTGTTATTCGGGATATCAATTTGCAAAGGGTTCGGGATGGGAGATCCGGTGTTTTTCTTTTTCTTTTTCTTCTTCTTCTTTCAAGGATCACGTTTTCATGTTCTTTCTGGCGTTTTCTGGGTCTGGGAGAACTGGGGAGTTTTGTCTTTTGGCTCTTTGATATCAATTGTCGTTTGCATCAGGTTCTTTCTTTGACAATCTGCCTTACTTTGCTTTCTAGGTCTGATTTCACTTTTTTCCCCCTAGTTTCTTTATTCTATTTTATTCCCTGTGGATTCTCTGTTTCATGCCGGGGCCTCTTCACAACCAACACTTTGCTTGATAATCGTTTGTTGGGCTTTCTCTCCTCCTTTCGGCTGCGCACAGCAATGCGGCATTTCCTGCAAGTCTCGTATATGTACTTCTTTCTTTCGTTTGTCTGACACAATCTGCGTGGTTTGCCCTCATGCATATATCAGCTATAGGGTTATGTAGCAATTTGTTGAATTTACGTTCTTTGATATGTTTGCTATTGGGTTCTCATGCCGGTTGCTGCCCGATGGTATATGGCTAGTACTTGTCTGTAGACCTCAGGTCTATCTATTGATTCGGCTTTCATTGCCATATCCAGCTCTTGATTTTCTACTTGCAACTTCCAATTGAAACTCCAAGTAAGTGCTATATATTGTGGCTTACATGTAACGAATAGCAGAAGCACCACGGGTTCTTCGGAGATTGGCGTTTTCCAATCACATATCCCAGGAGAGAAATATATTCCCAATTGACCTACATCTACCAACTTAGAGAATGCATGTTCTGGAACAATCGAATGCAGCCTATATGTCGTATATAATATAGTAAGCGCTGGTTAAATCGCTGTATTCCCCTCCCCCGCAATTCAGCCTAGACAGCATAAAGAGATGATACATCAAGTAAATTACTAGCTGCATGACATCGTATTCAAAAAGAAATCTCCAGGTAGGTAGAGCCGAGATCGATCCACTAACTACATCACCACCACACGCTATACCACTTCCCGATATGCATCGACACCCTCCTCCACCTCTACTCTCCCAAAACCCAGAATATTGAACCCCAGCGCGGCTAGCCTAATACAGAGACCGTCGCCGGCTCAACAGTCCGCAGCACTAGCGGTATAGTATCCGTCATCGCCTCGGCCGAACTACTCCAAAGCAGAGAGTACAAGCCGTCCGTGCCAGTTGGTCTCGCGTAAAAGTTGGCCCCGGTCACAGTGACTAGGACATAGCTACCGTACATGGACCACACATTGCTGAGCCTGGTTATGTTGGATTTGTCCCTGGATGTGCCGGTGAATCCGACTGGGTTGGAGGCCGTATTGCCTCGGTCTAGACACAGCATGTTGCTATCGGTCGAGAGGGTGGTGAAGTCCTCGGCGGAACTGATGCCGTCACTGGGATGTGCAACGAAGGTGTTCCCAGTGGAGGCGGTGACTATTACATGTATATGTATATGGTTAGCTGTAGATCCGTGGGTTTTTGTGGCTTCCCCATGAGGAAGAGATCTTTGGTTCTTACAGTTGATTGGGGTCATTGCCGCCATTGTGGTTGTGTCTAGTTTTGACACATCTGCAACTTGAGCAGTACCTGTTAAGGTGATATGAATCAGTAAGGCTGCTGATTTAGGAGGTTTACCGGGGGGGAGTTGATACCGTTATTATAGAAAACGGGCAGTCCGCTAATGCCTGGGCCATACGCATACAGCTTGAAGGGCTCGGTTGTCCTTAACTGTCGCTCTTCAAGTGGATGCGCAGGGCAGACTAGCCCAAAGGCTAGAAGAAGAATAGAAAGAAATAGCATCTTGTCATAAACAAGTCATACAATATGTTGGAAGGGGGTGTACACGGCAGTGTGTTAGGATTAAGCAAAACTTATAGAACAAAAAATAGTCACGAGGGCATAGTCCATGAGATAACACTTGATTTAATTAGAAGCAAGCAGCACATTAGGAGTTATCCAATGATTCTTCTCTTTATTTCCTAAGATTGTCATCCAAGCCTCCTTTGTGATTTGGACTGGTACAAGCTGACGATGATACGTAATTTTCAACTTCATTCCCATGATCCTAGTCAAGAAGAGACACCCCTGTGGTCATCATCTGGCTGTGTTCCATGTCGAATATAGATCCTGGCTACTACAACCCCAGTGGTCAGATCAACCATCCACTCACCATGCATGCGCCGCGTCAAGACTCTCACAATCCTGGACAATCCTGGACAATCCAGCTGAAAACTCCAAAATATCAAAGAGGAAACATCAAATATGCGAGATAGCAATATTAATTCCCAAGCCACACACGTGGGGAGCTCGTATACTCTGAGGCTGAAACGGGTTACACCAAGATAAAACAGGACAGCGCGTCGGGGAGCATAACCCTAATGAAAGCCCTGCGAACCGATCTCACTGCGATCGAACTAGGAACTAAGATTCCCGATGTTCAATCTTCATCATTGGCTCTCTTTGCGAACTTTTAATTTGACAATCTGAGACACACAGGCCTAGTTGCATGGAATATCCAGGCCCTCCATCTTCTCGATGGTACTCTTACGAGAGAACAGACAGTAGCGAATATCTGCAGACTCAAAACGTCCAGTGAACACATGGTATGATAGGCAGCGCAACGTTCCAGTCGCCGGGAAGTCCCCCCGAGCCGACTATACTCCTATGGTCTGGATGGCGGATGGTCTACAGGGCGTCTTGATCTTACTACTCGGGTATCCACTGAGAACATAGCCTCAGCACCCGAGCTGGACGATGGTGATGACGCTTTGCCATGTCTATTCGTCTGTCGGGTCGCCTTATGTATCACAAGATCCTGTTTCTCACGGCATCACCGGTAGGGCTGTCCGGCCTATCCTAGTGAGGAGGTACGAATGCAGGACACCTCGTGAAAAGAGACATGGCGTTCTTGATCCTGGTCAAACTCCCCTTATCGTGCTGTAGGATTCTGGTATATAAGATACTAGCTTAAATAGAGGACGATTCTCTTGATTGTGCATCAGCAAGTCTTTTGTTTTCTTATACTCGGATTCTTTTGGTTTTGTGACCAAAGAGAATTGAGCGCTATACAAGTATCCTGCGTGGATAGAACTGATAGCCATGAAGTTCCAATCTCTTCTCCTCCTGGCTTTTAGCCTGGGTGCTTCTATCGTGGCCATTCCACAATATCCTGCCGATTCAGTCGATATCCAGACACAATACCACAGACCCACGACAACCAGAACCAAACCCAGAACCACTACCAAGATCAACAAGCCAACAGGAACACCCTGTGCAGGCAACACGCCCGAAACACGATCTCAATGGTGCCAATACGACGTCAACACCGACTACACCCAGATAGTACCAGATACAGGCGTAACACGAGAGTACTGGCTCGACCTCGAAGAGCTAGACGCCGCACCAGATGGCTTTAGTCGGCCAGTAATGGCCGTAAACGGGACAATCCCAGGCCCGACCATTTTCGCCGACTGGGGCGACTGGGTCATGATCCACGTCACAAACAGCCTCCACAAATCCGAGAATGGAACGAGCATCCACTGGCACGGAATCAGACAGAACTTCACGAACGGCCAAGATGGCGTGGTCTCCATCACGCAATGTCCCACTGCCCCCGGCTCAACCATAACCTATAAATGGCGGGCCGCGCAGTACGGGTCATCGTGGTACCATTCGCACATTGGACTACAGGCGTGGGAGGGTGTGTTTGGCGGAATTGTGATCAATGGCCCTGCTACAGCGAACTACGAGGTCGACAAAGGCAGTCTGTTCCTCGTGGACTGGTCACATCCCACTGTTGATCAGTTGTATTCGGAGGCTCAGACAGTCGGTCCGCCGACTTTAGATACTGGTCTGATTAACGGGACGAATGTCTTTGGGAATGAGACTAATTCTACGGGCACGCGGTTCCAGATGAAGGTTGATCAGGGGTCTTCGTATCGACTGAGGATTGTGAATTCGGCTATTGATACGCACTGGAAGTTTATGATCGACAATCATACGCTTACTGTTATTGCGGCGGACTTTGTGCCGATCAGACCGTATACGACGAATTATATCGATATCGGAATGGGTATGTGTTTTTGATATCAAACCTCCCAGCCCTAACTCCAAGCCTCCTCGTCGTCCAAACAGTTGAAGAAGCCCACAACTAACAAAAACAAACCCACAGGCCAACGCTACGATGTAATCGTAACAGCAAACCAACGCCAAATCTCCGACTCATTCTGGATCCGCGCAATCCCCCAAGAAGCATGCTCGGAAAACGCAAATCCAGATAACATAAGAGGAATCATGTACTACGGCGACAACCCAGGCACACCAACAACAAACCCCTTCACCTTCCTAGACGAATGCGTCGACGAGCCCATCGCCAGCCTCGTACCACAAGTTCCCAAAACCGTCTCAGCTGCAGAATGGAACGACCTAACAGACGTGACACTGGGACGCAACAGCCAGAACCTCTTCCGATGGTATCTCAACAGCACGACGATGCAAGTCCTCTGGGAAGACCCTACGTTACTTCAACTCTTCAACAACGAAAACACACCCAACTTCACAGCATCGAGTGGGGTGATTGAGCTGCCACGGGCACACGAATGGGTGTATCTCATGATTAACACGAGTTTCCCGGTGTCGCACCCTATTCATTTGCACGGACATGATTTCTTTGTTTTGACGCAGGGGTCGAATCCGTGGAATGGGAGTGTTGCGACTAATAACCCGCCGCGGAGGGATACGGCTATGTTGAACGGGAATGGGTTTTTGCTTATTGCGTTTGAGACGGATAATCCTGGGGTGTGGCTTATGCATTGTCATATTGGGTGGCATACGGATGAAGGGTTTGCGTTGCAGTTTTTGGAGAGAGAGAGTGAGATTGAGCCCTTGATTGATCGACAGGCTCTTGGGCAGAATTGCGATTCTTGGAATGCTTATGATGCGGCTTTTAATATTGATCAGGAGGATTCGGGGGTTTAGAGGGGATGTGAGGATGTCGTTCCAAAGGGTTTGGTCATTATATAGGTTGTGCTTCGTATGTAGGTAGGTCGTATTCTGATGTTTTATATCTTCAATTGATTATGTCTTGGCCATTTGTATATTCCAAGGTTCTTTCTTTGTTATATACAACTTGATAATGGATACCAACTCATATCTGAAATAAATATCAAGTAGGTCCTCCTGCCTAAATAAAAATGGCCGGGAATACTGGTGTTGTCAACAAGATGGGTCCCAAGACGCATTTCGGATGCAGCCTGTCTGCCATGAACTTCTTCGCGATTAAAAACAACTGACGCGAAGGTGTGAAATGTAAGCTCAGGCATTTCCGAACGGGTGAATGGCTCTAGATTGAGAATCATATGCCAATGCGAGCAAGTGAAATGTGAAATGTGAAATACATTGGCACTTAGGCACAGATCATCGCATTGAGCAAACATACAGGAAGCAGCTGAGAAAGAAAGCTTAAGCAGAGAGATCTCGGTCTTCTGCTATATCTAGCCATTTCAGCTAGAGATTGTAGTTATCCACGCTCAATATACTTCTTTACACGGTAGTTGATCCAACTATCCAAACCATGATGCCAGCAACGACAAGTAGCACAAGGCCAGCCATGATTGTGGTGGCAACGTAAAGACGGTCACTTCCAGGTGCTGTAGCGAAGGACAAGTGGTTGTGCATCCCAGACGTCGCATAACCCAACCCATGCGTGCAGCCCCAGGGTATATATGGCTTCACAATAAACCGAGGTGTCTTCCCAAGAGCGGTGCTTCTCACTCCTCGTTCTTGTCAAGCTTCAGCATGTACGGAGTAGCAGGACCACTCTGCTGTCTCATTGGTGATACACAGCTTAGCGATATCATGTAAACAAGTGTCATACCCGTAGACACAGTAGATGGTCAAGAACATACCTCGCCCTATTTGATGGCATTACTTGGCACCGATTCGTTTTCCCAGGGATCCTTGTCCGTTTCCCTTCAGTGGGGATCCCCGAGTTGACGTGGGTCGAGCTCGCCGCTTTTATACACCCATGTCTGTATGTGTCCGATTTCTGTTGGGAGATAATCTATTACTTGGGAGGTTGTTAACAGTTCTTTAGCAGTCGGTTCAATATAGTAGAACGATAGTATATAACAATGCAGATCTGACACAGAATGTTATACCTTATGCTTGAATCACACAGGCTGGTGCCTATTTCTCTATCTATGGGTATAAGTACTGGATACAGTACATAGTTACCAAGGGAATAATAGCACTTGTGATATTCTATTCACGAGCCTTCCAAGGCTAACATACACAGAATCGATATATCGTTAAATCTTTCATCAACCCCCTAAATCAGATGGCATAATCCACAATACAAAAAAAAAAAAAGGATATACTCCAACTCATCGATAAAAGGTTTGTCTTGTCATGGATCAGATAATAGTAATAGTCATCATCACCACTACAAAGCTAGTCCCACTCAAAGCAGGGTCTTCATGTCATCCATGTTGCGGACACCAACGAGGTTACCGGCCTTGACACGCTTGAGGGTCAGGGCAGCAATCAGGGCAGCACCAACACCGGAACCATCCTCAGCGGCCATGATGGAGACCTTGTCCTTGTCGGTAGGGGCCCAGTCGAGGATCTCACGCAGGGCCTGGGCACCACGCTCCTTGAAGAGGGGGTACTTGGTGAAGACGGAGCCGTCAGCACCGACGTGGCAGGACTCGATGTTCTTCTTGGTGCAGATAGCGGCGACTCCGCACGAGGACAGACGAGCGGCACGGGTACCGATCAGCTCGGCGAGGCGGCGGATAAGCTCTAGCTCTGGCTGGGTAGGACGGATGCTCAGCTTGCTGTCGAAGAGATCCAAGGTCTCGGTCAGGTTCTCATAGGGGTCCTCTTCGATGTTGGCGAGGAAGGAGGCATCGAGCAGGTAGGGCTTGCGGAGCTTAGTGACGTCCTGGCCGTTAAAGATCAGACCAGGGCGGTTGTCGACCAGGTCAATTAGTGCGAGACGGAAGATCTCTCCAAGGTACAGACCAGCGGTCATCTTCTCGAAGGCTTGCTGGCCGGGGCGGGGGAGTCGCGATCGATGATGTCATCGTATTTGGTGAGGGGCAGAACCACGTGCTCATTGTCGAAGGCTCCGTATTCGCAATTGATGGCGACGGGCATATCGGCGGGCAGGTTCATGTGGGCAAGCTTGGGTATGGATCCTGCGTTCTCCATGTATGCGGCGTTGACGCCGGTACCGAAAATGCAGCCAATCTTCATAGCGGTGTCGGTGTAAGAGGAAGCAATGAGGGTACCGGTGGTGTCGTTGATAAGGGCTGCAACTTTAATGGGAAGACCCTGTAGCTTGGTAAGTCTTCTGAACCTGCATGGAGAGGGTGGCACTATCCTAAGGATAAACATACCCGCTTCTTCAGGATCGCCTCGAGGGGGGAACAACATCCTTGCCCTCGACACCGTCAATGTCGAAGCCCTTGGTCCAGCGCTGCAGAATACCGTGATCGATGTACTCCTGAGTGGCGGGGTAGGAGAAAGTGAAACCAAGAGGCAGCTTGGTGAGGTTTTCCCCGGCGTGGTGGGTCTCGACGAACTGCTGCAAGCAGTCGGCGATGTACTCCCACAGCTCTTCGGCGGTTCCAGTCCGCAGCTCCTCGGGCATCTTGTACTTAGATTGTGTGATATCGAAAGCGCCCTTCTCCTCGGTCAAGGTAATCTCGCAAACACGTAGGTTGGTGCCGCCCATATCGAGGGCCAGGTAGGTACCCCGCTCATTTCCATCGGGGAAGTCCAGGACCCAGGTGACGTTCATGGGCTAATTGCTAGGTCAGTATATGTTAATGTCGGGATAATGATGTCGTTCTCACAATGTTGCCACCCTCAACACTCAGGCCTGATTTTTGTTAGCGATGCGTATAATCGGAGAGCTGCGGATAAAGTGGACTCACCCTTCTCGAGCTCCTTGACGAAGTGGTTCACAATCTCCTTAAGCTTGGAGCGATCGACGGTGAAAGCCTTCTCGAATTCCTTAATAGGCTCCAACAAGTTCTGGGGGAGCTCGTGCATGGACCCTGTACGACATGGTTAGTTTAGAAATATAGGTAGGGGTTTGAAGAGCCTCACCCTTCCGGGAATGCGGGTGCTTGGGGCCAAGTCCAACCATGATGAAGATGAGGTATATGGGAAGAAAGTAAGAGAAGAAAAGAAAGAAAAAAAAAAAGGTGGGAGAAGGGAGGAGGAAGGGGGGGGTTAGAATGACGATATGGAGAATTATAACGTGGGGCAAGTTGTAGATGTCTTATTTTGGACTGTCGGAGAGAAACGAGAGAAAGTCAATTGGGGCCTAAGGTGGGCTGTTTCAGTTTTAATAGCAGATATATTCGGACTATAAATAATCTACTATTCTATTTCTAATGTTATAAATGTTATAAATAGTATAAATAGTATAAATATATAAATACTCTCGGACTAATTGAGGATTATTTAGTTATTTAACTCCTTGAAATCAGGTATGTTCTGACTGCAAACGTTATGATCGGCGAGATCAATCTCTTGGCACGACTACTCCGTACTTAACTATACAACAGTTATACTCTATAACTATAACTATGTACAATACATAGTAGAACAAATATCTCTCCTATTTCTGCATATTCTGCATATCTGCATATTCTGCCTATTCTGCCTATTAAAATCAATTCATAATCATCATCTCAATGTGACAGCTTACGCGCCAAATGGGGAAAAACATGGTCGAGACCCCCAGATTGGCGGTGTGTCTTGTCGTATGACTCCAGCTTTTCGCGTACTTTATTTTGATACGCATCTGTCAACCCCAGAGTTCGATCGACCTCTTCCGTTAGTCGGTCCACTTCGTCCTGCAGCCGTTCGTCTCGCGTCGGTAGCGGGGCATTCTCCTCCGCTCTTTTCTGCGGGTCGGGGTTGGTTTCCTCCCATAGCCTCTCCAATTCCTCTCCCCATCCCATAGCCTTTGCAAACTTGCGCACACCAGCATCACAGTCCCCAATCACCAACACATCATTACTCCGTGATCCAAGGCCACCGACACGTTCCATGTTGATGAGCACGCGAGGTACACCCGGACTAACGAACGAAGGCAAACTGGCAAATGGCTGGACGGACAGACTAGTTCCCATAACAATGCAGAGATCGGCTTCTTCTGGCAGAGAGCGGCTATCGAAGAAGTCGGATGGTAGAGCTTCGCCGAAGAACACAATGTCCGGCTTGACTAGGCCATTGCACTTGTGGCAGTGGGGTACGTCACCCTTGGATACCATCTGATGCATCTCCTCGTCCGGGAAGGTCTCCTTGCATTCAATGCAGCGCTGTGTCGCAAAACTGCCATGGGCCTCGACGATCTTCTCGCCTGGCACACCTGCCTGGCGCTCGAGGCAGTCGATGTTTTGAGTAAAATGCTTCAAGAGCATCCCTTTGTCGTAAAGTAGTTTGACAAATGAGTGCACGATGGTCGGGCGATAGCGTCCCGGGTAAAGCTCGTGCGCCAGCGCATAGAAAGGCTTGGGGTTACGTCGGAAGAAACCAATATCAAAGACTGCCTCGGGTTCTGGTAGATCTAGATTTGCCAGGTTGGCGTAGATTCCCGTGTCAGGTGAGCGAAAGTCTGGGATGCCTGCTGAAGTGCTGATGCCCGCTCCCACCTGCATTTGGTTAGCTTCGACGCACTGTTTTCTGGGGATTTGCGCTGCATACCATCACCACAACTTTCTTCACATTATGCTGTTTAACATATTTGGCCACCGCCTCGATGTTACGCGCCTCAAGCACCGTGGGAGATGTGGATTCATCCACCTGGGTCGATGATTCGTTGCCCATGGTGCGTCGGTTTAGACGTCTAGGTTTGCGACGTCCGATGATGGCGGTTGAGGACTTGACAGTCAAAAAAAGTCAAAAAAAGTCAAATCTTGAGACTTTTAGATCAGAGTAGCTAAAAGAGCAGCAGAGAAGGTTAACAGAAAAAAAAGGAAGGGAAACAGAAAAAGTGCAATTGATATGGGGATCGCGCGCGTGGGGGAAAAATGACGTCGGCCTGATTCACAACGATAGTAAAACACACGACATAAGAGGACAAACAAAAGTACAAAGAAAGGGGTCTAAGAGCGCAAAGACAAGGATGGCAAGTTTGATTTTGTTTTTAGCAATTTGGAGTCTCAAACTCCCGTTGGTCTTGATGTAGCACCGTAACTTCAAGCTTGAAGCTTGAAGCTGCAAAACCCACTCTCACCGCCTGCAACCCCCCTACAACTACAGGCGTGGCATCAACAAACCAACTTGCGACAACCAATGGCGCCCAGAATGGTTGCAACCGCCAATGGGTATAATGCCATGTCCCAAATCCCTCCAGACACCAATGCCTCCCCCACAGAGACATTTCCTCCCCCACAGCCCGACATCTTCAACGCCAACTCCGTCGCCGAGATCAAAGCCACGTTGTCCCACCTACATACCCAAGAAGCGTCTGTGACCGCCCGCCTCGATGCCCTAGTAACATCCCAGAAAGACCTTTCCCGTGAGCTGGGCCGACTGGACCTGATGCGCGCCAACATCGGGACTCATGCCAGCACGACCCGCTCCATCAGCCATGGAATGCTCTCTGAAGCCGCCGGCACCGCCGACCGGATCTCCAGCGCGGTCCGCCGACTGGATCTAGAGCAGGCGCGTGTGAAAGCCACACTTGAGGTTGTAGAGCAGGTTGCCGAGCTTAAGGCATGTGCACTGGGCGTGGCTGGATCGATGGGTGCGCCCCAAGACTGGGAGAAAGCCGCCAGCTACCTACACCGTGCGGCTCAGATCCCGGCTTCGGTCGTCAATGGCGCATTTGCCGCGGAGATGGTTCCCACGGCTGAAGTACCAGACCCACCAAGTGTGACGCTCGATAACGCGGCGGAGTCGCTGTGCGGGCTGTTCCTGCGTGAGTTTGAGAAGGCAGTTAAGGAGAATGATGGGGCCAAGATTACGCGGTTCTTCAAGCTATTCCCACTTATTGGACGCTCTGAGGTTGGACTCGATGTTTATGGTCGCTATGTGTGCCAGGGCGTTGCGGCCAAGGCTCGGGCTAACCTTAACGGGGCTACCGGGGGTGCTCAGACTAAGGATGGGTTCTTCTATGCCAATGCGCTTACCAAGCTGTTTGAGCATATTGCGCAGATTATTGATGGCCATGGCGGACTCGTTGAGCATCACTATGGCCCCCGTAAGATGGGACGGGTCATTGAACGGCTGCAGGTTGAGGCTGATGTACAAGGCGGTATCATTCTTGATACTTGGAGCGATGAGCGACATGTGGATCGTAAATTGATGGATATCAAATCCTATGCTTTCACTTTCTTGGTGCAAAGCTTCCTTCCAGCTCAGCGACCAGGCCCGGCTCGTTCACAATCCCCTGCCGTGGGGGCGAGCACTGCTGCTGCCGACGAGGAGGGGGTTGATATGAAAGAGATCGACGGTGTCTTGAATGAAATGGCTATCATGTTGGGTCGGTGGTCACTGTACTGTCGGTTCCTGGCTGATACATGTAATGTGAGTTGCAATCTCCACCTCTTTAATGCCAGCACTAACAAATTCTCTAGTCTTCGGGTGAGGATAATACAGACGACGATAAGCGATTCGAGCTTCCCAGCTTCTTGCGAGAGTCACCTCTGGCCCAAAAGATCAATGACCGCCTGGTGTCCCCCTTCAACGCAATGACAACCTTCTTCTTCCGCCGTTCTGTCGAAAAGGCTTTCCAGCTAGACGAGTCCCCATCAGGTCTCACGCTGAACCCCCAGCGTCCACTGAAAGCCAACCCACCACACATCACCTCAGCCATCGACGACATAATGTACATCGTCAACAAAGTCATCCAGCAGTCTCTCGCAACTTCCCAAGAAGCAGTCGTGACAAACGTAGTCCCGACACTCTCACGAGTCCTAGGCTCCGATTTCATCGGAATGACGCAGCGCAAGATGCGCGACGAGTGCTACCCACGCTCAATACAAGGCGGGCAACCCGCCGAACAAACCACAATCTCCTTCCTAGTTCAAATCAACAACCTCGACCTAGGAGTCGACTACATCCGACGAATCGTGCAAAACAACACGGGCTCAAAACCCGACACCCCAACCACAGAAGCAACCCCGCACCTCCTGACAATATTCGCCAGCCCAAGCACCGCCAAAAAAGTCGACCAAACCCTCCAAACCCTCTCAACAACCTTCGAAAGCAAAGTAACCGACCTCCTAACAGACGGAATCCAAGTAATCTTCAACAACACCATAAAATCCCGCCTCCGCCCAATCCTCGCAGACGCATTCCGAGACATCGAATACGCACCAAACCCCAACACCCCCGAACCAGACAACCCAACCTCATCCTTCGACAACAAAGAACTCGTCAAGCCACGCTTCACATCTTTATGGAACGACCTATTAACACCATTCGCACGGATCCTGACACCATCCGCCTTCGACCGCGTCCTCGGCGTGACGATCGCGTATCTAGCCCGTCTACTAGAGAAGAGACTTTGGTCTTACGGGGCTCGGATTAATGCGCTTGGCGCCGCGCGTCTTGAGAGGGATGTTGCCGGACTTGTTGGCGCTGCTGTTGATGTTGGGTATGTTGCTGGTGCGCCGGGGAGATATAAATATCGGGATTGCTTTGCGCGGTGTGTGCAGATGACGCTTGTTATGGGTATGGATGAGGATGAGTGGGATGAGGTTAGGAGGGGTGGGGTTGCTGCGGAGGTTGTTGAGAAGCTTGGGAGGGAGGATTTGATTAGGGTTAGGGGTATGGTTAGGAGGTAACTAGGAGAGATGTGAAGTGTTTGTATAGAGGTTGTTTTTATGGGGAGATTTTGTATAGATTGTTTTGTTTATTTGATTGGTTTCTTTTGTTTCTATTCTGATTCTGATTTTGTGTTTATGTTGTTAGGCTTTGGGATTTTATATGAGGTCTGGATTGTATGTAGATTGGCATGTTATTTTCCATACAAATATATATATCTACATCCATCTACGTACAGATGAGCATTAATAGTAAGAATTGTCTTAACTAGATAATAGATAAATTTGTAAATCAGGCTGTCTCGCTCTATACTGCCGACGCAAAAGCAGAAGACAATAGACACATAGACAAAAAGCAACGTAT